GTCGCTTCGTGGTCGCGGTCGCGTTCAGGGGTCGAGATGGCCATCTCTCTCACGCGTCCAGATCGCAAACTCATCCACACAACAGTATTTTCGGTCCGTTGCGATATACAGTCAGTCGCTAGCGATTCGCTACTGCATACAGTTGGTCTGGTGCTATACAGTTGCTAGCGATTGTGTTCTTTCTCTATTCCGTACATTCGGGTTCGAAAGTGGGGTTTCGCTGACGGAGATCTCAGAACCGAAACTCTAAGGTTCCATAATATAGGCTTTTCGTTCGAACGATTACACCGACTGCAAAGTCGTTTTTTTATACCCGATTTTAGTAGGTTCCAGTCTAGCCTGCTATTCCTTTCTAAGAAAAATCTTTTAATAAGCTTTACGCTAAACAGATACTTTAATTGAGCCGTCATACTACATTGTAGATCTAGGTAAAGACTGCGCTACTACTGTAGCGTTCGGTCCGTTTCGGTCCGTTCCGCGCATACGATTACGACGCTGTAGATGGAGATAAAGATTGCGCTACGGTAGTGCCTGTCGGCTCATACCCAACTCAAGATACCCCTCGGTACTATTGTGTGCCAAGGTCGAACTTGTGTGTAGGCCACTGGCAAGGGAACGAATCCAGGCCAGGATGGAGAGAGTGCAAGAGCTTTACTATGAAGAGTACGATCTATACTCTTTAAGTTCGTGATTATCAAGAACAGCGTAGTGATCTTCTGTCAAATGTTATCCGAAGAACAGACTAATTCCCATTTGAGCGCCTCCATACAAAGATTCGGCCTTGTAGCACAGTACAGCTACGGTATGTTGGACGCGCTGTAATTCTGTGCACTGAGTTTCAGTGGGCTTAGCAATCCGTTATTCCATCGAAATGCCAAAAAGCCCATTAAACAAGTCATGAGCTACCAACAGTGCAGGTCGCTCATCCAATGACGCATTAACCAGTGATTCGAGTCAGGACCGTCACTTGTGTTATAGATGATAGTTGATATATTCATGATGAATAACTAGATCAGGAAGACAATCTACGTCGCTTTTACGAACATGAGCCCTCAAAGCTTAAGCATCGCTAGCATCCGCTCCATTTGAGGATTTTTGGACGCGAATGAACTAGATATATACTGCAGTTCAGCACTAAGCTCATCGTATAATACAGCTAGAATCTTTCGCAAAAACTTGTCCGTCTTTACCAGCTGCATCTGATCTAGAGCCAAGCATTTTTGGGCGTCGTCGAGTGTCCCTTCAGCCAGTCTTGTAGATAGCAAATTCTGGAGCAGAAGATTTTCTGACTGTTGCGAGATGGCATACAGAAGGGGAAGCGTATACGTTCCACTGTTCAAGTCGTCGCAGAATCCTTTCTGCTTAGTATACTTTTTGCGTCTCTTTGTGAGCAATGATGGACATATCGTACACATGTGAGCACGTAACTTACTTCAGGTGACGTGAGATTTTTATAGTCGTCACGGATCTGAAAAAAACGGCCGAGTAAGATGCAGAAGCGCGACAGCGAACTGTCGGGCACTACATTTGCCATTGAGCAAAGGTACATGAGCCTCCAAGCCAGTTCGAAGAGAGCGCTAGTTTCTACGGTGTATTTAGTTAGCGGTTGCCGTGGCACATGGTTAAATTCCTTCTGCAAGGCTAGGCACGCACTTTGATCAATTGTCTGAATGTATTCAGTTAAAGACGGACAAGAAAGATTTCGCGATGAATGCAGGTCCTGAGCTTGACCAACGAAGAGACTGGTCAATTTTTCCAGCACTGCAGCGACGCCCTGATCGCCCGCAAGTTCGCGTATCTGTTTTATGGATTCGTTCACCAAGAACGCAGCTGAATTGGTCGTTTGGGCGACTCCGAAAACACGATGTGCGCTAGATTTGCCCCGGCGTAGTCGAGAGCCATCTTGAATGTCATCAAGCCTGGTTACCCGGGAATTAGTTAGCAGAGTCGTGATTTGACGGGATTCAATGTGAAATGGCATTACATTAGTGACGCGTTGTGCAGCATACGAATCGCCATTTTCACTTGAGATACCTTCTGCTCGTCCACCTGTAGCCAGTGGTTGAGAGCATCCAAGAACATGTCTCGTGCACCTTTAGAGGGAAGCGAATCGACATAGATAACTGGTGCGCTGATCACCTGTCGCTTATATCAGTATGTAATGCGCAGTAAGGGCGTAGACAAAGGTTCTACTTTATGAGACAAAGGAGGCAATGAGGAATTGAGGAACAAGGACATAATTTCGGAAGAATCAGCGGTCCATCCATCCTTGTATTCAATCGTCGTTTGGGACCCAGATACCGGCGAGCTGTGTGTGCTTGTTGATAAGAAAGAAGAGCTAGTGTCAGAAGCGCTGTCCAACTCGATAGGCCTGGGGAGCCCATTGTGCATCCAATCCAGTTGAGTCTGATTGAAACACTTCTCAGGATTATATCTGGGGCAGAGTTTGCTCCATGTGACATTCCCCGAGATGCTGTATTGCATGGCTTCAACATAAGTGCGAAGGTCCAGAGATATCGACTCGTCATTCTTGATCTTCCGAATATTGTCCAAGTACTGGGTGACATACTGAGCGGCAAGTTTCCGGCAGTATTGATTAGCTTGCTCTTGGGAAAGGCCATGCTCTTGCATTACAACCCAAATAGCATTTACAACATGAGTACGTCCGAGCCTTTGACTCGCATCACGCTCTTTCGGCCAGGAGAAGACATCATTAGCCAATCCGACAGCGATCCAGGCGGGTTCCATGAGCTTGTGGCACGCATCCATCTCGTGGTCTGGAATGTGCAGTGCCATGCCGAAGGTTACCACACCAAACCAAAACCTGACGGCACAAACATTAGCCAAAATCAGGGTCAGACACGAGTTACCTAAGCTTACATTTCGCCCACATCTTTGATACGATAGGGTAGGTAGTCTTCCAGCCTTATAAATGCTGTGCTATGCTGACGACTTGAACCGTCTCTGAGAAACTCAGCCCATGCTTTCATGGCCCTTATCGCGCACTCTTTGTCGACTGCCACCATCTCCGAAAACAGCTGTTTAAGAATCCGTGTTTTTCCAGAACTGGATTGGTCTTGCGACGGGCTCCGGCTTTCAGGGCCCGCTAGAAAAATCCCCATCAATTCATCGTTCTCCGCAGACGTCTATATAGGTTAGCACCACATCTTTAGCTACGTGTAAGCGCAAGATCTATTCTATACATACGTCGTCCTCGGTGTCCAGCTCAGTATCGTCTACGCGCATTTCATTAGATCTTGGACTTGAATCATTCTTGCACCTCAGCGTGCTGTACTCACCATCATACATAAATGCGAATTCATTTGCATACGAAATGATTTCCAGACGTGTTGGTATACATTCAGGCACGCAGACCGTCATGAAACTGTAGTCGTGACCAAGGGTGCCCTTAAACTGCTTGATGGGCGCAACATGCTTAGCCCAGTCCTGCTGCGCGCGGATTGCACCTCGATCTTCCAAGTGCGTAAAATTGTTCTTTCGTAGATCAATGCCATCAGACAAGCCTTCGTTGTCATAGGCCGCTAGGTCTACAATGGTGGAAAATTGATATCTCATCTTTGGGTGTAGTTTTGACTTATCGAGTCTGTCCGTCAGTTCGTGGGTGCAGAGGGCAGCAAGAGCGAAGCTACTGAACGACTATGAGGACTTGCCTTCGGATTTACTGATGGTAAGCTACAATGAAGCATTCGAAAGAATTCTACCGCAACACTTTGGTCACAAAACCACCCACCGCGCTACTAGGGATGGTGCATGATAGGCACGCTGGGATACCCATGCGGTGAAGCATAGCCTTGCTAACTTTGCCGGGCAACAAGGTATATAGCAAGGATTTGCAAGCCTGCCTCTACAAACACTATAACCCGGCCTGCATGACCGACAAAAGGCCAAGCCGTCAGCATGACATCGGGGAGAGCGAGGGGCTCCCAACTCGGGGTCTAAGTCGGAAAACCCGGAAACAGGCCGACTACCGTGCTTTGCTTGATGCGTGTCTGAGGGCCTGTTCGTTTCTCCGTTTTCCGGTTGCGTTTTGTTTCTTGTTTGGGTTTAGCGCTCTTCCAAGAGATTCCTTGTTAGTGTAGTAGCTAGCTGGTAAGCTAGAGTTATACTAGATCGTCACGTGATATCACGTGTCATACTTATCCACTGGGTATCGCTAAAATCGTAGTAAAACGGAGATCCGTTTTCAGCTAGACCCCTAGAGTAGCAGCTAGAAAACGGATCTTCGGTTTGCCTAAACAGGAGATAATATGGATCAAGTAAGCACTAAACAGGACTTATTTTAGTATAGTAGGGTAAACAACATCTAGCACCACTTTTGATAGCAAAATGTTCGTTTTCTAAGCACGACACCATTTCCGGCTCCGTTTTTCAGACGGAGTTTAGAAAAACACTCTATCAGGCCTGGCAGTCGGAAAACGGATCTGAACGGAACAGGCCCTGAGCTGGCTATATCTTAAGTCATAGCTAATGACTACTTGACTCCCACTAAGGAGCAGCATTTTGTAACTAACACTGTTAGGACAATTCCAGCCTGTCTTGCACTCAATCGCAATGGCTTCCATACTATGGATAACTTTGCTGAAAGTTTTGCTTGCCCTTATCGTTTGGATCGGCGCGAGAATTATCTACAACATATACTTCCACCCACTACATTCATTTCCTGGCCCGTTCTTGGCTCGTGCAACACGACTTTACTCGGCTTACATTCGAGCTGCTGGATTATCTGAAAGGAAATCACTCCAATGGCACAACCAGTACGGCGGTATTGTAAGAATTGCGCCAGACGAACGTTCGTTCAGCCCTAATTATTGCCCGAGAGCATTAAAGATTGACCTTTAAATTTTAGTCAGCTTTAATACAGGCTCCGCATGGAATGACATATATGGCATGAAACCGAGGGATTCCCAGCGTCTTCAGAAGGACCCACACTTCTACATGGGTGCAACTACCCCTAGTGGGGAGAAGAATATGGTTAGTCGTGACTCCGTCGTGCATCGTCCAGTAGGCTAAAATGAGGACTATTCAGGGGGCTGCTGGTGATAAGGACCACAGTCGTATTCGCAGTGTACTAGCCCATGCGTTCTCGGACAGAGCGCTGCACGCTCAGGAAAGCCTGATTCGAGCTCACGCAGACCGACTGGTACAACGTCTTCAAGACCTCCATGGCAAGCCAACTGATATCGTGCGATGGATGCACCACCACTCATACGATGTGATTGCACACCTGTGTTTCGGTCAAGACCTTGATGCTTTGGGCTCGAAAGACTGGTTCCCTCCAGCCCGAGCTGTGTTCGAAGGCATCCGAGAAGGCGTGACTATGATAGAAGTTTTGCGATTTGTCCCCTTCAAAGCCACCGTGTTAAATATTTTCGTCTGGGCGTTTGGCAAAGCTCGTCGTGAGAGTTTCAATGCTTCGGTGGCTCGTGCAATGCGACGCCTTCGTCTAGCAGAGACGACAAGTATCGATTTTAGTAAGCCAAATTTCTACCGTTTGCATTCGTAATGTCACTAATTTGTATCAAGTCTCATTCATATTGCGAGCCAAAGAATCGACCAAAGAACTTACAGAGTCGGAGCTGACTGCAAATGTTACCTTGTTAATCGAAGCTGGATCCGAGACCACAGCTACTATGCTCTCAGGGTGCCTGTTCTATCTATCTCTGAATCGGACCATATTAGAGGAACTGACCCATCAGCTACGTAAAGAGTTTAGGACCTATGACCAATTAACCCTCCAAAACGTAGCAAAGATGAAGTCTTTAACCCATGTTATCCAAGAGAGTCTAAGGATCTACCCTCCACTGCCAGCGACTCTTCCTCGGGTAACCCCAGAAACAGGAGCAATGAGTAGGTCATATGAGCGAATCATCGCCCTTCCTGACGTTCCGCTGACATCGCGTAGTAAATGGGGTTCTCATACCACCAAAGACTCGAGTGGGAATGAACGCATTTGCAGCATATCACAGCACGCAAAATTTTGCACACGCTGATGCGTTCATTCCACAAAGGTGGGACAACACCGACGATAGATTTGCTCATGATCATCGTCACGTGCATCAACCTTTCTCCCTAGGCTCTCGTGGTTGCCTAGGCAAGAAGTAAGTAAACCCAGATTGCAGCCATCACTAGCCTACAGCTACTTACGAAAGAGTCAGTTTGGCTTGGGCTGAGATCAGATTGACATTAGCCTGTCTTCTGTGGAGCTTCGATGTGATCTTAGAAGCGGGCCAGGAAGAGTGGCATGGTAAGCAATTGACCTGGTTTATATGGAATAAAGATCCGCTTTACATGCGCTTCACTCAGAGAACGAAGTAGAATATTTAGCCCTAGGATACGAATCCTTCAGTTGTTCAAGAAATCGACTTAGCCACTGCGCCATAGGAATTTCCGTTATTTTTTTATAAAAGAGATAATGTATCTAAATTCATATTTAATATATCTATTCTCCATAAGTTTATCTACTATCTTTTTACTGAATCTACTATGCTTTTAAATCTTTACTTCTAACGCTTTACTTCTCTACTCTAGCTATACAATACTCTTAACGATACTCTATTTTAAATATAGACTAGTGAAATAATATATTATAAATATAGGTTATGTTAATGAAGTTTATATCTTAACGTAATAAAGATAATGTATAAAACTAGCTAGCTCTAGCCTTTCTAAGTAGAGTTTCTAAGAGAAAAGATTCTAAGATTTATTATAACTAGTAAGTAGTAACTACCGCGTACCTATCCTCTACTCTACTAATTAATACTATTCTGCCTATAACCTATAAATACTATTACGTACTAGTAGCGTTAATATAAGTAATATAGTAGTCTAATCTACCCTCTATAATATATTATATAACTTTTCCTAGCTTATCTCTTATAACTACTCTTAGATATTTCTAGATAAAGTAGAGCGTTGCCGTTATCTATACTTAGCTCTTCTTACTCTAAAACTATTTCTTAAACCTTATTTACTCTTTTATAGAATTTACTATACTAATAATACTTTTAATATATATTATATTAGACTTTAGCTACTTATAAGTCTTTTTACTTAGTCTTTTAATTAAATATATTAACTCTAGACTTACTTTATATACTATAAGTATATCTAAATACTTAATTAGAGTAGTATAGGTACTTTTTAATCTACTAATACTAATAATAGAGAGAGATCTATATTACTATTTTAATATATAATTATTAAACTTTAACTAAATAAATATATATTATCTTAGATCTCTTAGTATATATTTAAGTAAAGAAGAGTAAAAGATAATTATTATAGTAGATAAGAGCTTTATAAATATAAATAGCTTTTCTAATAGACTTCGCTTAGTATAAGATAACTACTAGAATTAGCGGGGTAAGTTAGGTCTCTACCTCGGGATCGTTTTTCTTAATTTACTCCACTAATACTTACCCAATCGGGAAGTTTAGTAGCTTATTTTGTAGCCCTTAATCTAAGCCTTATTTTAGTCTAATATAGTAATAGAATAACTCTGATAGGTAAGAATTTATTAGCCTACCTACCTTGCTAGGAGTTAGGTCTCTACATTTTACTCCGATCTTAGATATCTCCTTACATAGTATAGCTAGCGTATTACTATAATATAGCAAAATAAAGCCCTAATAGAGAGCTTTAAAATAAGCTACTAAACTTCCTAATCGGGTAAGTATTGGTGGAGATAATAGCGTTTTTGAGATCCTGATATAGAGACTAAATAACTAGCCTAACTAGAATTATAGCTAAGAGAATAATAATATTTTTAAATACATAGATATAGTATTAGAATTAATACGTAGTTAGAATAAAATAAAATAAGATAAGATAGATAGACTAATATTATAAATTTATAGATAATAGAAAGCTATACTATTCTACTATATTTATTAGAACTATATATAATATAGTTATTATACTTAATAGAGTTATATCTTATTATTATATACTTATAAAAAGGTTTAAAATATTTTAGTAGTAATACTAAACTATTCTTAAGAGTTTTAAGTAGAGTCTTATAAAGTTAAGTCTCTTAGACTTTTATCTAATTTTTTACTTTAACTATAACTTAACTTTTTTTCTCTATCTACTATATAGCGTATTAGATTAATTATTCTAGAAAAGAATAGTAGACTACACTTTAATCTACTAAAATTAGGTATTAAAAAGATACCTATAGTTAAAGTAAAAAATTAGGTAAGGGTCTAAGAGACTTATATCTATAAGACTCTACTTAAAACTCTTAAGAATAGTTTAGTAATACTACTAAAATATTATAAACCTCTTAATAGGTATATAATAATAAGGTATCACTCTATTAGATATAATAACTATAATATAGTTATAATAAAAGTAGTAGAATAGTAAACTATAGTTATAATAAAATAATAATATAATAAACTATAGTTATAATAAGAATACGTAGTATAGCGAAGATCTCTAATACCTATAAATTTACTTTATCTTCTCTAGTCTATCTATTTTATCTTATTCTATCGTATTCTAACTATAGCTTAATTCTAATACTATCTTAAATCTATCTATTTAAAAATATAATTCTTCTTTTGGCTGCTATTCTAGTAGTTATCTCGTACTAAGCTAAGTCTATTAGAAAAGCTATCTATCTCTATAGATCTCTCTTCTACTATAATAATTATCTTTTACTCTTCTCTATCTAAGTATATACTAAGAGATCTAAAATAATATATATCTATCTAGTTAAAGTTTTATAGATCTATACTAAAATAGTAGTATAGATCTCTCTCTAATATTAGTATTAGTAGATTAGAAGGTAGTTATACTACTCTAATTAACTATATAAATACGCTTATAGTATATAAAGTAAGTATAGAGTTAATATATTACGTTAAGAGACTAAGTAAAGAGACTTATAAGTAACTAAAGGCTAATATAATATATATTAAAAGCGCTATTACTATACTAAATTCTATAAGAGAGTAGAGGAGGTTTAGAGAATAGTTTTAGAGTAAGGAGAGCTTAGCATAGATAGAGGCGACGCTCTACTTTATTTAGAGGCATCTAAGGGCGGTTAGGAGGGATAAGCTAGAGGAAGTCGTATAATGTGTTGTAGCTTTTAGGGTAGATTAGGCTACTGTGTCGCTCGTGTCGACGCTGCTGGTGCGTGATGGTATCGATGGGTTGCGGGCGTGACGGTGTCGATTGGTGGAGCGGAGGATGGGTGCGCGGTAGTTGCTGCTTACTAGTTGTAATCAATCTCAGAATTCTTTTCTCTTAGAAACTCCAATCAGAAAGGCCGGAGCCAATTACTTTAACTATAGTTATTTTTTTAATACTTAATTTTAGTAGGTTAGAGTGTAGTCTACTATTCTTTTCTAAGATAATTAATTGAATACGCTATATAGT